TGGGTGTGGGTGGGGGGAGGGGGGGGTGGGGGGGGGTGGGTGGGGGGGGGGGGGGGGGGGGGGGGGGGTGTGGGTGTGTGTGTACAATTTTTAAACGTGTCTCCATGCTTTCTGAGGTTTCGTTTGAAATTCGAACCCGATTGGAGGCAATTAATTTCACACGCTACATATGCGGGTACAGCACAAGTATTTGACACACACACACACACATGCCTAATAGAAGAAACTATATATAGGCCTATCGAGTGCCCCATATCGGAATTGTGGTCTAATTAAAATACGTATGGTCGCGTCTAATTTTACGGTAACGTTTTTGACATTGCCTGTCGTAAATATAAATCAATTTATGATTAAATATAATTCAACTGAGAGAGCGAGGGACCGATAGGCCTATACGTGATACAATGTTTGGGTCATCATTTAACGAACAAAATGGATCATCATAACCCTACCTCCATGAGAAAGAAAGTTAAAAACAATTAAATACATAAATTACAAAACGTAATTGATTTCAAGGTGTTTTCGATTGCTTTGCAACGCTTTTGTTGTCACGTCTTCATTTATATCGAATGCAATTATATTAGGTAATCATAGTAAGGAAGGACGTTTAATGGTTGTGTAAAAGATATCGATGTAAATTACCCATCATCTCTTCTGCTCTTAGCTTTATTTCAAATAGCTCGGTAATCACTCTATTTATTTTCCAGCTTCTTTGATGTACATTTTAAGTGAGGGAATTACTGTGTGATAATAATAACGCTTCATCGACACCTTCGTTGATTTAGGACAGTTTGACGCACATGTGCATTGAGGAATTTAATCATAAATGCAACAGATCAATTATTTTGCATATAATTTTGATCGAAGTGTATTTTAAAACCAGCCGTCGTGAGTATTCCTCAGACAGTTTAGTGACGACGACCACCGACTGCGCGCGGAATCGTGTACAAGCATAAGTCGACGATTTTTTAAACATGTGACCTATAGAAACGCCCACAGGGTACTTTACGCAGTGTGACGTTTTGCCACAAATATGAAAATCAGTAATGAACTAGCAACGAGGTATTGTATCTCTCTCGGTTCATTGATGTAAGGGAAAACCCACTGATTATCTTATGCTCTGAGTTCAATCTGATGTTGAAATAACATCACACAAGGACGGTTAAGCGTTTCGCAGATTCGGTGCTTTGCTATATCGAAAACTGGGAATACATATTTTGATTTCAGCTGCATCTAGTAGAGTTGGGGGTTTGACGCTTCAAAAGTGTATTCGGTGAAAAGATGTCATGACATTACGATAGCAGGTGGTTCTTAGATGAGTTGTACCAACCGGAAAGCTAGTTGAAAACTTTACTTCTACAGGGCTTAAGCCATTACAACCGAGTGCCTGGGACGAGTCAACGTCCTTTGCGCCAGCGAATGTGAATGAGGGCAGGAAGATGACTAACGTGATCCTTAATACTGGACCTTGCATTCGCGTGACTACTCAACATGATCATTGTACATCCTTTGTTTTCTCCAAGAATACAGTCTGAATTGGCAAGAAGCTGAGGCAGAACCACGAACACGTGTGACAGTGTAGTGGTCTTACGCTTGGAAACATTTACTTCGCCGTCTTAATGTTTTGCACTTTACTCATCTGCCAATAAATGCCACTTTCAACCGCTAGCCACTCTGAAATCTCGCTCGTAATTGGGCGATAATTTTCACAGGAGATAGTTGGGCTACGTTGACTGATGATCTGACTCACTGGCTGTTTATATCGAACCGGCGCTCAACAATACAAAATTTATTAGCTTTGCTTGATTACAAGTCAAACCAACTGAATAACTTGCTCTATTCAAAAGCGACAAAGTCATCACGTTTTATTTAGTTGAAACAAACCCAAATTGGCAACCGTCGATATTTTTTTCTGGAAAAGATTTGGAAATTTTTTTACGCAGAACATCTACTCACGCAATCAGTTGGAGATATATTACGTGTTGATACCACATAGTTACGTGCGTGTGACATTTTAAACACGTTGTTTTTGTTATTATTGATACTCTGTGCACAGTCACTGCACGATATAGTGTATGCGTGGAAGTTAATCTCATCCATCACAGGTGAACCATTCGTGGTGTGATTTTTTTTGTTGCTAACAATTAATCTTACCTGTAAAGCGGTTGTTTATATACCTAACTCAAGTTTGTTTAAGACTGTGTGCTTTTCAGGGATTCATATACTCCAACAAACTCAATTTCCATTCCATGTGTCATGGTCATATATATGACATCATAGAAACTTGTAAGCAAACGACAAAACGATAGGAATCAACGCGTACGATCATAATTATCTTTGAGACGAAATGGCCGCCGCCGATACACTTATGCCTTTACCAATTGAGGAGATATACGGTAAGTTAATAGCTCGATTTTTCAATACATTGATATCAAATACATAGATGCGTTTTTAACCTGGACGATTCTTTAAACAATCTAGGGAACAATATGACGTCATTCCATAGATTTGTATCGCATCTACGCGCCAACCTTCTTCAGTACTATCGTGAACCCATCTCCCTGCTGGACTTCGAATTTCGAATTTTCATCTCCCTGCTGGTTCGTGTTTATAAATGTTTATTTGTATTATTCTACCACTATGATGGCGTTTGTAATTCTGGCATATTTCAAATTTATGACATCACGTTATATATTGTTCCCATTTTAATAACTAGGTCACTAAAATTATATTTTATGGTAGCATATTGAGGGCGCACACTAACCTGGGAGTTTCAAAATTGCAATTATTTATTTTTGATTAAAACTGTAGCTTGGTACTTAGGATGATTGCCTTCTAATCCCAGAGTCTAGAGTTCAAATCGAGCAGACACTGGGATTTTTCCTTACGTCTAAAATGTTTATATAGCGAGCATCACAGAGTTGATTGCATCCTGTAAGTATCGCGTCATTCGTTATTTGATGAAAATGAAAATCTAAAAATACTCAGTTTATTATTTTCTTGTGGCTGTGTAGCTTATACTTTAAAATCTGAAAGTAATTTCACATGTCTAATCCATATTGTATTGTGAACATGACCATCTTGACCTCTCGGTTATTCATGCGTGCAATAGTCCACTACGTGAGAGCGAGCGCTTACATTTTCACATGGCCACCAACGGGGGCTTATTATAGGTTCCCGCCATGACTACTGCCTCTTCCTGGTAACCCCCTTTAAGAAGCTTGGTTACTAGACTGAAGAAAAATGAATAAGCCAAGAAAAATTGTTGCATCATGATGCTGAGTAACTCGGCTTTGTTCACTAGCAGTTATATGGTACAAGCATAATAAAAATTGAATGTTGCTATGCTTTTGTTTCCCTATCACATAGGTATAGGCCTATGGATGGAGCCAGTACAACATTTGTTTCCGTTATCATTTTACCAACTAAAATTCGTAAGGTTGAGATGTTTGGAAATGAACCATAACAGTCCTACACCCTTCCGACTGACTGTTTTCCAGTTAGGCTTGGCAGCAACAACAATATGTTGGGGGTTTTTTGAGAATATCATCGGCACTTTTTATTCTACCTATTGTTGTCTACAGTACTGAAAATGCCAAAAATTAATATAATGATAATGAAGTTATTGGTAATGAATGTGGTTAATAATGAATTACAATACTAATTCAATTCAATGCACATCTAACTCATTAAATTGAAGCTGCCCATGTAAATAAATGCATGTCTTACAGACGTTTCATAACCAATATTTCTAAACTAACGTTCAATCTTAAATAAATCTGTTCATACATTCAATACATAGTATGCGTATAATAAACACACTTGCAATATTTGAGCTCAATATTCATATGAGACATTTTTTTGCTGTCAAAATCACTGAGTAGAGAGCCACACTGTACATTACCAGCGAGTGGTCGATTATATTTTATGTCATTTCATGAACATTTCGTAGTTTGATATGTGCACACTATGACGTTTGTTATCGTTGCCATGGTAAATGATAATCACTTTTACAGGCAGCTAGTTCTTAATAAAACAATAATCGAGTAGTTGATGTTTTTGCTGGCAAATCTTTAGCAGTTATTTAAATAATATGATGATATCAGAAAGAGTTATATGAATGTTCAAATCAGATAGAAATATAAAATGAATATAGCAACAAAGTGAACATATGAATATCCATCGCATAACCAATAAGAAGGTTTTAAACATGTGCTTTGTACTGTTCGTGCTTGCTTGTGGATTTCAGCCAAAAGGGAAATTATCCTTATTATGACATCACGATGACATAGTGTGGATTGACGTGTTATCGAGTTGAATAGATTGAAAAACCTCTTTAAATTGTACACAAATTGCATTATTTTATTTACATATATTCTTTTGCTCTGGGCTCAGCATTTTAGGTTAATCGGTCATTTATTTCGATTGATTATATCATTAATAAATAAACTTGAAAAGTATAATTACAATTTTTCGATTTTCAAAATAAAAATCGCACCACGAGCAGGATTTCTTGAAGGACGTGCGCATTATTAATCACCTGAAGTTCGCTGGAGAAAAAAAAATGATTTGAATATTAACTTGGCCAGTCGGTAAAGGGGCTGTTCGTGTAGTTATTATGTTGATATTCGTTTTTTGTAGCTTATGGGCGACAATCTCACTCTTCGCTCAGGGTGCAATACTTGAACCACTTTAAGTCTTTTCACGTGGATAACGTAGGCCCAGTGCACAAGGATCGTGTGCACATAACCCGAAACAGCGTTCAGTGGTGGCTTTACATAAGGGTTCCAGCCTTCTAAATGTTTTGTTGGTAAACATTGTGTTTTAGATCACTATATTAGGAACCCCAATCATACTTTGATTCAGATCAGAAAAATAATTCGTCTGACGATATCAGGGGTTCACGTACGGCAGGGGTAGGGGAAGCAATTGCCCTTCATTGGCGATGCCACTTAGCAGGGGTTACTCTCGTGTTCCAGTATACACCACATCCACCTGAAGGGGTGTGGGTTATCCTTTTTGTGAAGAATAGTGCTATGAAATCCCATCCTTACTTACTGTACATAGTCTTACATTGAAAAAAACTATAACATATACTAGCTGTGTAGAATGATGAATCGAATGGCGACATCGTGACGTCATCTTGCCAACGAATACAATGATTAAACAGAACTAACGACAATATTTACTATAGGCCTGTGATTAAAAAAAAGGGAACTACAAATATATTACGGTAATCCTACGTACTATAATTCATTTATAACAATGACACATCATTGTCTAGTTTAAGAGTAGAATTTGCCCACCTTTAAGGTTAGGGTTGAAGTGATCTCGTAAAAATCAATAAATTACTTACTTTGTATATTTACGTTATTAGCCTTCAAGTGAAATAAGAACGGACATTTGCCAGACAATAATTCTTATTTTCCTTTCAAGAATCTTAACTTTGTTAGAAACTGTAGTGAATTTGTGAATTTTCCTAGTGAAATGTCAGAAAAATAGAATTGCTTTGTTATGTCGCATTAGAAGTGCTTCAGGCGGGAGTTGAACCTGCAACCTCTCATCACAGTCAAGGCTAGTGTCATAGCTCTAGATTTTTGGAAAACTGTTGGTAGATTAAGCCAGTCTGATCACCCCCCCCCCCATACACACCTCACACTCCTGATATACGCCCCGAGAGAACACTGAATTATCGCAGCGGAAGTTATAGTAAACATGATATAAAAATTGAGAATTATTTCAATCTCTCTGTTTATGCTTGTATATAATTCTATAAGCATTAAAATGTTACGGTATATATAATGTAAGAAGCCTATGTATGTATTATGTTATATATAGGCCCTGTCTCTTATACACATCTAGATGTGTATAAGAGACAGATATTACAGCGTATGGACCTAATTGGCACGTTCTATTAAGTGAGTTTTTTTCTTCATTTCTCATCAGTAGGTGGATCGGTCAGTCTGCTGTCTCTTATACACATCTAGATGTGTATAAGAGGTAAACATTTATAATACGTTAAAAATTATTATAAAAAACTAAATAAATAGTAAAAAATATAAATTAAAATGAAATAAACAAAACACTAAAGTCATGTCATATCGTTTAATTTATATGTTATTCATTTTTCAACATTTTTTTATCATCATATAAACACCTCGGGCTGTCAGCTGAATAGAGTTTCATAGTCTTGCTGCTTCAACAATAATAGAATTTTGAAAAAGAGTTGTTCGAACGGCACTCGTGCACTATGTAATTTAGTATTATCCCTGGTGTAGTGATAAAAGGAATTTTCATGCTAACAGGAAATCCTTCCTGTAATAATGTGAAACAAACGGCTCATATTCGAAAAATAAATAAAACTATTAGGTACAAAATTAACATCTTAAATAAATTGACAGAAACACTATAATGAATCTCTTTATGTATTCTTCCTCGGCCCCGAAACCTTGGCTTTAGACTTGACATAATGTCGACTCTTTTTAGTACATATTTGAGCAAATCTGATGTATAAACCCACTTATTATTCTTAGATTTAAACTTAGCTCTCAGGATTGCATCTATTCCATATTTCATCAATATTGGACTCATGAAATTAGATCAACGACCAATAGATTCATACTCTCCGTTCCAGCATAGCGACTCAAAACTTGGTGATAGGGCTTTTTCTGTCGCTGCACCAAGACTTTGGAACACCCTACCAGCCTCTATCCGTGAAGCAACTTCCGTTCATACATTTAAGAAGAAACTTAAAACCCACCTTTTTTAAGTTTATCTTTTTACAATTTTTGTAGTTTAAGAGTATTTAAGTGTTTTGTTTTTTGTTCATTAAAGTCGCAACTCCCTTACTTGAGCCGGCGTCGCCACCTTAGCAGTGCACGGTAGTAGAGCCGAGGCTTATCCAAGGTGGAAGCTACCGGAGCCCAGCATACTGTCGCCGGAGTACCTGCGTGTACGTGGTAGTGGTGGTGACGCCGTCTCAACAACAGGAGTGCGCATTTTCCATGTTGCTGCTTGGTTTTTTCCATTCTTGGTCTGCCTGTTTTTGAAGGCTTAATTTACCAATTATTTATTTATTTATTTATTTTCTATTTGTTTATTTATTTACTTTATTCATTTATTTATATTTATTTAACTTATAATAAATAAAATAAAAAAAATATTCTGATTAATATAGGCTCTTTAATATAAGATATAATATAAATTAATTTTTAAAAATTCTTGGTCCTACCTTTTTTCGGCGCCTTGAGACGATTTTATTGTGGAAGGCGCACTACAAATATCCCACCATTACCATTACCAAATATATCCGAAGGGTCCCAGTCCGCCTTACTATTTTGTAGTTTTGTAGGCATGTCTGGCCATATACTTTTGGAAAGTAGGATTAACATTAAATAGGGTCTATATTTCATTTATATAATATAAATTATAATCGTCTATGTTAAATTAAGGTTTAACAGAGCAATTCATATGCCATTCATAAAATGGAAAGCGATTGGAATAGTACAGTGCCTCAATGTTATGATTTCGAGTGATCGCTTCATTAGGTGACTTTAATTAGTTTAAATATGGCGATCTTTGCTCATTAATTACTACTTGCCTCATCACTCATCAGTCGTTTGGTTAATTTACAAACTTGAATGAAGGTTAGTGATGTACTCATTATAGAGAGATCATGTTTAAAATTAACATACAGCGGTATAACGTTCTGCAATCACGTTTGCTACAGTCGCTAAATGTAGAAAACAACTGCTAATGTAGTAACAACCGTTAATGTAGCACACTCCACAGCTTATGTAGTAAAACCCCTTATTAATTACGTAGAAACCCCAACACCTTATGTAGTAATAAGAAAATCAACCCCAGCTAATGTAGAACGCTCAACAGCTAGTAACAAAAATTGCCTCACAGCTAATGTAACTACTATGGCCAGCTAATGTAGAATATTGCAATGATATAATACCATTAGCTGAAAAACATGCGGGGAACTAAAATCAGGTTGTCTGCACATCTGCACCTTTCCTAATGAGAAGTAAATCTGTGAGGGTACTTTTTAGAAAAATGGCCACCTGCCTATATAATATCGGGTGCTCATCTCGGTAACCACTAATCAGTAAGGCTTAATAATGGTCTCACAGTGTTCATGTCGCAATCGGTAGTTCCCCATTACATTTAACATAATATGTTTTTCCAATTTCTGTTATTCTTATTGGTTTCAAATTTAGCAGGCCGTTTGTTAGTGCAGTTTGCCATTCATCAGTAGGTGGATCGGTCAGTCTGTCCGTTAATCGGTCGCTATTTCATATATATATTATATGTATATATATATATATATATATATATATATATATTACGGTATATGTATATGTATGTATATATATATATATATATATATATATATATATAAGCTGTTATATACTTATATATCTATGTATATGTATATATATGTATATACAGTATATGTGTGTATATATATGTATGTATATGTATATATATATGTATGTATGTATATATATATATGTATATATATATATATATATATGTATGTAGAATATATATATATAAAATGTCAAATTTACCTACTGTTGAACCTCTTATTTTTGTTTTAATTCGCTCTGGTTTAATTACCATTGAGCA